GATGCTGGGAAGTGAACCTCAGTTCTCTGCAAGAGCAACTAGTGCTCTTAACCTCTCTGCCAGCTCTCAGTCCCAGGCTTGAACTCCTGATCTTGATCTGCCTGCCTGTTCCTCAAGTGTTTCAGGCCTGTGCTGCCACACCTGCTAATCTGAGCAATTGCAAAGTTCAGAGAAAGAAGTAAGGAGTTGAGAGCTAGAGAATAGGAAAGGATGTTATCTCACGTTTAGGTAGAATTTGAGAAAAAAATATCTGTCCATGAAAAACAAGACAAAAATTGTAACACTAGAGCAAAATTGACCTGTTATCACAAGTAAGAGAGAGAAGCAATGAGTACAGATACCACCAAAGTCCAACTTTGTGACCACTGATTTTTATGTGAGTGTGTGAGAGGTTGCTTACAGGAGCAGAGATGAGTCAAAGATATCTGCATCGCCAAAGCCCAGCCCGGCACAGGTGACAGCTTACAAAACTGGGAACCTGGAACACACTGCCCAACCTGCAGGCAGCTCAACAGCTTGAGGAATGTCCTTTCTAGGTGACTCAGTTGGTCTATACCTCTTCAGGGCCCTTATTTGGTCTACACCTCTTCAGGGCAGCTCATTTGGTCTACACCTCTTCAAGGAAGAAGCTCAGTTGGTCTCTGTTTCTTTCATTTGGTTCTTAACTTTCAAGGTCTCTGCTTCTTCTAGCTGTGGGGCTTGTTTCAAGGTCTTTGTCACTTGTCTAAGGAGTGTGATTTTTGGAATTCTTTGTTTACTCTGGGAGGGAAGGAACTAGTAACTCTGTTTGGTGAACTTCCTGAAGGTGTTTTGAGTCATTAACCTTCTGTTTGAGCTTCCTTGGAGGATAGAATGTTTCAACCCCAGAGGAAATGGCTTGATGTTGATGAATACTAGTAGGACACTGCTTAATAGTTTGAGATTTAGGAGAGTTATTATGTTCAGGGGCAGAGGAAAAGCACCAGTGGACTTATTTATTGACCCAGGCAGATCTTAATGTAGCTTAGGCTGGCCTCTACTGGAACCTACTATTTAACTAAGCATTTGAACTCATGATGTTCCTGTCCCCACCACTCAAGTGTTAGAGTTAAAAGTTTTTCATCACCACACCTCAGTGGTGTAGTGGGAGGCTGCTTGTTGGTTCCCAGCTAGTTTAAACCCGAAATAATCACACAGAAACTGTATTAATTAAAATGTTGCTTGGTCCATTAGCTCTAGCTTCTATTTGGCTAATTCTTATATATTAATTTAACCCATTTCTATTAATCTGTATATCGCCACTTGATAGTGGCTTACCGGCAAAGTTTTTGCATGACTGACTCTGGCTATGGCTCCATGGCTTCTCTCTGACTCCGCCCTTCTTTCCCCCAGCATTCAGCCTAGCTTTCCCTGCCTACCTAAGTTCTGCCTTGCTATAGGTCCAAAGCAGTGTCTTTATTCATTATTTATTCATTAATGCTAATCACAGCACACAGGGGACTCCCACATCACAGTGGTATTTGTTTTGTTTAAATTTATGAATCCTTTTGAGTTGGTGCATCAGAAATGTATTTTCCTGTGCATCTGTGAAAGACAAATCTGCTGTTCTTTCATAAAGTTGAAGTTGGATTTGGTCCCTGAATGAATGTTATCTAGAGATGGCAGTTCTCCCCACAGTAGGCTAGGTCTACTTTCTGTTCCTTTGTATTATATTCTCCATACCATTTCAGAAAAATCACATCTAAAGAAAGGGTTGAGTCTATTCTCCCAGTCTGGGGATCAAACTCACAGGCCTTGCATATGCTTGACAATTGTTTGCCATTGAGCTACATTCCTAGTCAACATCCAAATCTTATGTTTTTCTGAATTTTTATTAAATGTAAGCAAACATTATGACTGAAATTTTAGTCTGTAAACAGAATTAAATTTTGCCTAGTAAACTGTTACAGTTTTAATGTTTTGTAATTTGGTGTTTCTACAGCTATATGAAAAGATCTGACAAGATGGAACTTTTAATATATAAGGCAAGAACATAACATTTCAGAAATAGTAATATTATCTTCTCAGAATTTATTATTTAAAACTTTTATTAAGATGAATCTTTGCAATTTAGCCCTTAATATATTCCTTTCTACAAAATCTTCAGTGGTTTTTCAATCAATCTTAAAGTTTAAAAATTAATGATGGTAAATGAGAGAGTGCATATTTTCTGTTTTCAGCATCCAAGCATGTTGTTTCTTACAGACAAATTTCATTTTAGAGCAATATTTCTAAAACTTTTATCATTTGTACCTCATCATTTAAGTAAATTTTAAGTGAGATTTTAAGTCAGAAACTCTTTTTGCAGATTCTAAAATACAGATGAGCAAATTCATAGTTGGTCTCTTGCTGCTGATGGCTCCTGAGCAGACCAGGGGAGGGAAGGTGCTGCCATGGCAACATAAGCAGACTGTTATTTCAAACTACTGAAACTGCAAATTCTCAGTTTTACAATTTGGTGCTTCAAGGAAATAGCTCTTTCTACTGTGATCAAAAACAATTTTCAGACTTTCTACTATAGAATTTGAAAACAAGACTTTAAACAGTTTGCAGGAGATACCCTGGAATATCAAGGTAGAACATGGGTAGTTATTGATGGGATTGTCTTGGTCAGTGTAAGAAAAATTATTTATGTATATGAGACCTAATTGAAACAAAGGATGTGTGTTGACAGTTTTATTTCCCAGTTGTCAAAACATATCATTTGTCTAAATGACTGAACAAAACTCTAAGTTAGTTTTTAATCACTTAGTCTAAAAATACATTTGCATGCAAATCTTAACATTTCTTGGAAAAACTTGTCAGTTACTTAGGTTTTTTTGTTTGTTAGTTTTTGAGACACGGTGCTTGTGTAAATAAATTATATAGTACTCTCTGGGACAGAACTCATTTAGACCAGGCTGGCCTCGAACTTGAGACAGTCCTCCTGTCTTTGCCTCTCAGGTACTTGAATACACTCCACCTGGCCTCAATTCTTCCTCTTTTCTGTGGTGCCTTGACATTGAGTGCCACAGAGATGACTCTCCTTGTGGCGCGCCCCTTGACCAGCAAGGAAGAACGACCACGAAGTCGAGGATTCTTCTCAAATCACACTTTATTGGAGCCTCTTGGTTGAAGGGAGAGCAGGAAGCGAGAGAGAGACGGCGAAGCGGCATCTGCTTATATAGGTTGAAGGGACTCGGGTACCGTCCTGATGGGTGAATACCAGTCTGCTGATGCCCGGAGCCCGGATTGGCTAGGGACAAGGCTCAATTGCGCATGTGCAGGCAAAGAGTGCTCAGCCCCAAGCGGCAATTCCAAATAAGGACTTGTTTACCTCCAAGCTGCAGGACCACCTGCGCCATCTTATAATGGTGATTTCTCCAGGTGGCTCCCTACATCTCCTGATCATTCCTCCCTGTGTGACTGTTGTAAGAGACATGTCAGTTCTCCTTCTGCATGTCTCGGTTGCTCAGTTGTCAGGGTGTTTAAAGCTGCCCTGTTCTGAGTGCATGGGCTTCTCTGTAGATAAGAAGCTTTTCCCCTTAAGTTAGTTTTGGCCCTTACTACTTATTACCTAAGCTTTTTTGAAATTTACTTTTGTTCTTCTTAGGGTTTTGTTGTTGTTGCTGCTGCTGTTGTTGTTTGAGGTAGTGTCTTTCAGTATAGCATTGGCTGTCCTGGAACTCACTCTGTAGACCAGGCTGGCCTCGAACTCATAGAGATCCACCTGCCTCTGCCTCCCAACTGCTAGGATTAAAGGTGTGTGCCACCACTACCCAGTTCTATTGTTTGGTATCATTAATCCCCTTCACCTAGCGTTCAATAAATACCCTATGGCAATTTCAGAATATCCAATTAATGTTCATTTATTTTGAACTGTGTTACTTGGCTATAAGTTACTTTATTGAATCCCATTACAACTCACTTGAATCTTTGTTTTATTTTGTGGCTAAAATGTGAATGTCTGACTCTCACATTGTTTTATCTCATTTCACGTAATCATAATAAGTAGCAATAAATATCTTGGACTTTTAACTTTTTAAATTTCATGCTGTATGTGTGAATATGTATGTGTGTGTGCAAGTACCAGCAGAGGTTGACGAGGGCACAGATCCCCCAGAACTGCAGTTTTGTGTAGTTGTGAGCCCTCTAGTATGGGTGCTGGGAACCAAACTTGGGATTATTGCACATACAGTGCAGTATATTAACTGCTGAACCATCTCCAGCTGCAAGCCTTATATTTTAAACTTGTGGAACAATATTTTTTGATCATGCCACTTTATAAAAATGACACAGTACTCAAAGATGAAAGGATCTCAATAGTTGACTAATTGCTGTGAGAAAGAGTTTAGGGAATGGAAGCAATGTGGAGATAATCACATTAAACCTTACATTATATAAGATTTTATACAAGGAAGGAGTAGGGGAAAAATGAGTAAGTTTGTTTTCCAAAGAGTTATTAATGTAGTTAGTTGTAAAGTACAACCTAATTTTAAGATTTTTTGCAATATGAAAAGCATAGGCTTAGTGAGATGGCTTACCTAAAGGCACTACTTACTGCTGAGCCTGAGGGGCCTGGATTTTGATTCACTCAGGAAAAGGAGAGGACCGATTCCTGCAAGTTCTCCTCCTATCTGCACTCATGGCTTGTCTTTCTCCCTATAAATGAATAAGTTTAAGCTTTATAGAAGCTTGGGTATAAAAAAGTTTTAACCTCTCTCATCTTGTGGTTAGAGTAAACTTTGTATTTCATGGTGAGTGCAATCAGTAATGTATAACAGACTCACTTCCACTTGAGGGGTATGGGAAAGTAGGTGTGAGTATTGCAGCGGATCAGCATCTAGCAGCAGGCACAGTGGTAACTGCTTCATCTCCAGCCTTCACTTCAGCCTTGGCATGTACTCAGCAGGTAGGAGGTTCCCCCCTCCAATATTCTTATTCAGAGGAGTCTGATAAACTGTGATATGTTCAAGCTTTAATTCTTCCACGCTTTTTTCTAGGTTAATGGAAAAGGTTCCTTATGGTGTGTTGATCCAGAATATAAGCCCAATCTTATGCAGGCCTTGAAGAAGCAACCTTTTTCCTCTCCACAGAGGTAAGCACTTTCTGTGTAATTTAGATTTATTGTGTGAAGTAGAGAAAACAAAGTCGTACAGACTTGTTTTGTTTGTATATTTATTAATTGTATAGAGAAGTATTTACAGGTAACATTAACCTAAGGTATTTTCCTCTTGGTTAATTTCTTTTTTTTCTAGGAAATGAAATGTGAGTTACTTTGTTGCACTGTGTAAAGAGGCCACTGTGGTAGGTTAAATTAAAAAAAAATAGCCAATAGCTAGGAAGGAGGTGTAGGCAAGATTTTCAGACAGAGTGCTCTGGAAAGAAAGAGGGAGTCACCAGCTGGGTGTCACAGAGGAAGCAGAACATGGAGGAGGAGGGGTAAAAGCCATGAGCCACGTGGCAACATGTAGATAATAGAAGCGGGTTAAGTTATACAAACTTGTTAGAAACAAGCCTAAGCTATCAGCTGAGCTTTCATAATTAATAAGTCTCCGTGTTGTAGTTTGGGAGCTGGCTGGTGAGACAGAAAGGCACCCAATGTGGGGCACCAGATGTAATGAATACCTACATCGTTCCAGTATAATAAAAACTCAGGAGTCAGAAATTTAGATAAAGACCTGATAAATCTAAAGACAGAAGAGAGTCATTGACTGACTCTCTCTCTCTCCTCTGGAAATTCCTTGAAAATCCTCTCTTCTCTCTTCCTGTCCTCTCTAGCAGACCTCTAAAAACTAATCCTGGTCAGTCAATTGCTGACTCTGTTCTTTGATTCAAGATGATCTTATTGCCACGGTAGAATGCCTGTATGCACAATTCTCCAACAACAATAAAATGCTAGATAATTGAATATAAATTCTCAGAAATAAAGTCAATGCAATATAAGTAAGCTAAATAAATTATATGACTTCAGTTGCAAAAACGACTCATTTTAATTGTTTGCATGCTGATAATGACTTACTCAATAAATTAAGTGCATATTTAAATTTTTAAAATAAGATGATTCACAGTTTATAATCATAGCATTGTTGATACATCATTTAAAAGTTTCTTTTTCCTATTTTGTTTTGTTTCGTTTCATCATGGTGAGATGTGACTCATGTTGTCTTAGTGATCCATTGCTGTGAAGAGACACCATGACCAAGGCAACTCTTATAAAAGAAAATGTTTAATTGGGGGCTTCTAGTTTCTGAGGGTTAGTCCATTATCATGGCAGGAAGCATGGCACTGGATCAGTAGCTGAGATCTTTACATCCTTATCCACAGGCAGCAGGCAGAGAGAGAAAGACTGGGCTTTTGAAATTTAAACAAGTACACAGCTACTCCAAGAAGGACAGACTTCCTAATCCTTTCCGAATAGTTCCAGTTACTTCTGCACTGGGGACAGACTGTGCAAGTCTATGAGCGTATGGGGACCAAAACCCACCAGGCAGCTCAGGCCAGACTTGAGCTCATCGGAGTGCTGTGGGACCATGCTTGCCTGCCTGCCTGTCTGTTTGAAGTTGATTCTCCTCCAAAGTATTTCATATTTAAAAACTGAAGTTTAAAATTTTAAATGTTTGTCAAGTAAAATAATGCTTTGCAGATTTTTATGTTGTTTTCTGGAAAATGTTGTTATAATGTATTTCCTTACAGCTTCCCCTGGCTTTAGCTTTTCTCATTTTGATAAATCTGAACATTATATTATCTCTCCAAATCTGATTTTAAATCTTTTTTTCTAAGGAAAACTTAAAGATTATAATTCTATGATGTATATTTATTTGTATTGCAGTTTGCCTTATTAAGATAAATCTTAGGGGGTAGTCTTTGATGCTTAATTTATTTTTCAAAAGTCTGAAAGGTTATTAATTTTCAAATACATACCTAGGGAGAAAATTAAAATCTTACTGCAACAAATTCAGAATTTCCAATTGTAATTCATTTAAATTCTTAGGTAATACTGGTACTTATGAGATATTCTATTTAAATAGTAATTTAGAGCCTAAGGAAATGTCTTTAATGTTGGTGAGTGTGACTAAGGGAGCGTGGAGGACACTGGTTTATAAGCCCACAGTCACCTCGCATTGTATCTTCATGGACTCACACTTAGATCTTTGCTTATCATAGCTTTAGGTGTAAAAAGTAATTTTGCAAGGTTTTTTTTTAAAGAGTAAATAAGAACATGAGAGTTATCAATTGTTGACTTTAAAACTTTAATGAAATGAAAACATTTGTTCCATTTTGCTGATTCCTTCTGACACGTTTTTGTGTGGCCCTTCTACAATTTGTAAGTCTGGGAAAAAGAATAAGGTATATGTAAAAGCTGAATAGGAAATAAACTTTTAATTTCATTTAAAATATTTTTCTCTACTATCACAAATAGAGCCCACCCAAAAAAAAGTTTTCCTTTTTGCACTAAAAAACACCCTGAAAACTTAACTTTGTGTCATTATTATATAGAATTTTTCTTAAGTACTTGTTTTGATAAATTCTTAGTGTTAAACTATATAACTATTAGTATTATATCAAATTTTAAAATGTATTATAGTACTGAATTCTTATATTTATTGTTCAGGGCATTTAAAATACATTATTATGTAACCAGCACAAAAATACTATATGAGAAATGTAATTGTTTCTGTTTTACAAATTAAGAAATTAAGAGATAAATTGTTTTAACAATAGCAGAATAACTGTTTTTAGTCTTGACCCCATGCTCTTCAGCAGCTCTTTCTGAACTGAGTGCTATAAGCAAAGAGAACAAGGAGAACTCGATTGTTGTGGTTTTGTGGTACATTCTAGTTGTGCCTGTGACTTGGTTCTGTAGAAGCAAGTAAGCACATCTGTCTTCCCTCCCTGTTTTTTAGTGGTTCTTTATCACCTCACTACTTGAGCTCTGTTCTCAAGCAAAGTCAAGTGCAAACTCTTAAAGGTATGTATGAAGACCATCCAAAGTCACCATTTACCAACATTTGGTATAATGTATATGTACTTGTTTTTTAGTAACTCATGATGTATAAGCATTTTATCTTCCTCTTCATTGATCTTTATGTTACTTCTTTATGTATATTTTTTTGTTGAAAGTAGAATTTAATTTCTTAGTAATATCATTGAGTTACTTCTGTGTATTATTATGTGGCCCATTGTAACTTTACATTTATGAAATAGTTGAAAAGAAACTATCAATAATATTTTGAGACAAGAGTGTCTGTCACGTAGTAGTAGAGTTAGCTGCAGCAGAGACCTGCTTGTTACTCCTTTGGTTTTTACCTCCTGGTTTGTAAATTACAAAATACTTGTGACTGTTGTTAAAGAATTTTGCCATCCCTTAGATTAGGATGCAGTTCCAAATATTTTTATAGGTTATATCTGAAAAACTTCAACTTAGAAGTTGAAGTTTTAAGTTTTAAAAGTTTAAGTTAAGTTTTAAGTTGACTTCTTTTAAAGGAAGTCTCCCCCACACTTAATTTTTATGGCATTTTTTTATACTTCAATGGTTTTGGGTTAATCTTCCCTTACCAACATTCTATCCGCCTTGGTCCCCATTCCCACCTAAACACTCCCCAGTGTTCCTCTTCCTTCCCTTTCTCCCTCCCTCCCTCCTTCCTTCTTTCCTCGCTCTGGCTCACTCTGGCTCTGGCTGGCCTGGAACTCTATATAGACCAGGCTAGCCTCAAACTCTTTGAGACCCACCAGCTTCTGCCTCCCAAGTTTGGGAATTTTTGCCACCACGCCCTGCTCATCCACTTTTTATGTCAGTATCACCTGTGTTTATTACCCCCGTATCATTCTCTCTTAAAGCCACTTGTGACCTTTCCATGGGTCCTGCACCAGTGTCCAGCGTCTGCACTGTCTCGTTCTCACAGAGACACATATGTGAAAATTAGAAGCTAAGCTCTGTGTATGGGTGTGAACATGCTCTGTCTCATCTTTCTCAGCATGGGTTCCTACAGTATTTCCACTTCCATCCATTTCCTCAAGTTGTGTAATTGTATTTTCCTTCTCTGCTGAGTTGTATATATGTATACCACATTTTCATTAGCCATTCATGCTGGTAGACATCTAGCTGATCGTATCTCTTTGCTGTTGTGAATACAGCAGCAGTGAACATAGATGTACTTCTCAGTAGTAAAGCATGGAGGCCTTTGGGTATATACCCAGGAGTGTAATAGCTGGGTCATGGCAGTGTCTGTCTTTAGTCTTTTGGAAATTTCCACACTGATTTTCAGAGTAGCTGCAGAAGTTGATACCCTTAACCAGCAGTAAATAATGGTTATGCTTTCTCTGCGCCCATCAGTATTTGTTGTCACTTGTTTTTACAGCCGCTCTGACGTTGGCAAGAAGGAATCTCCCAGTTTGTTTGTTTGTTGCTTGTGTTAAATAGGGTTTCATATAGCCCAGATGGCCTTTTAACTTGCTATGTAGTTAAGGATGACTTTGAACTTCTGATCTTTCTCCTTCCACCTCCAAAGTACTGGAGTGAGAGGCATGCACCATACAAAGTATATATTACGCTGAGGATCAAATCAGGGCTTCCTTTGTGCTAGGCAACTACTGTACCAGCTGTGAACTAGATTCCCAGCCATCTGTGGCTCAGTTTTTGATTTGGTTGTTCGTTACTTTTTTTGTTTTAGTTTTTTGGATATACTAGGAGTGAATTCTCTGTCATAAGTAACTGGGAAAACAACTCATCCACCCTGTAGGCTGTCTTCTTCACTCAGTCAATTGCCTTATCTGCTATGCAGAGAGATGCTGTTTAATTTTGAGAGCTCCCATTTGTTGATTGTTGGTCTTCCTTCCTGTGTGACTGGAGTCTATTCAGAAAGACCTTACCTATGCTTGCATCTCCAAATTTTTGCCGTAATCTTTCCTCTAGCAGCTTCAGAATTAAGGGAATTCTTTTCTATGTTGTCAAAGCAAAAACAAACGTTTGTTTCTTGTCTGCAAGTGCTGAGGGTTAGAGCCTCAGCTGGCAAGCTCCACACTCGGTAACGTCTTTCAGTGGTGGAGTTCTTCCCTGCTCATAATTAGTAGATAGATTAGCACACTTGAGTTTTTGTAGTGTTGTTATTTCAATTCTTAAAATGCTTCCATGTCCTTCAGAAATGAAAAACCTCACAGTACAGCCTTTGGGCTGTCAGATATTTGGCTCTTTGAAGCTTGTAAAGCTGAACTTTGGAGACATTGTGCTTTCTGTAAAACTAAGGGAGGGAGAAACTTCAGAGAAACCTTTGCGAAGAAATTTGGTGGATGGGAATCTATTTCTGATGACCCTCTGCTCCAATAAAGATGGTGTCTGTTTCCTGTTACCTGCTTAGGTAGGTAGAAGGGGTCTCTTTACCTGTAGGCATTGCTGAGACACTTTTATCTTTCTATATCTGAGTGACTTCTGGGTCTTCCCTCAGGCTCACTTCATCCAAGTTCTGAGACATACTGGGTTTTGTGAATTCTGGGGTTTCTTAGAATCTCTTCTTGCTCTTGCTTCATTCCTTCCAAATTTGATTTCTTCCTATGAAAATAGTTCTCATTCCATCCTGTGTTTCTGACCTTTCCTGTGACATCTCACCTTTATGGCTACAGCGACTTCTTTTAGCCCTTGCTTAGAAGTATAAGACCTATTCCCCCAGCCATGAGCTAGGTGGGGAGGGTTGATATTCTAGATTAAAGCAGTTCTAGGCCTGTTCTAGACTTAAACACTTGAACACAAAATTCTGAATTTTAAGAGGCTAAACATAATGTTTAAAAGTTTATGAAAGTTCATATTTAAATTTAGTTGGTTAAGACATATTTATAAATGAGAAAATTTGCCCCTCCTTCCCTTAAATTATTTCTGGAGATGTTTGAAAAATAACCAAGTAGTTCAAACACTTGTCACAAGTAATTGAGTTCCTACTAAGAGCCTTGATATTTGCAAAGTGACATTCTGGCCAGCCTGCTTCCAGAAACATTTTTCCAGAGGTATTGCTTAGTAGTAGTATATTTGCTTCACACGGAAAGAGCCCTGGGTTTGATCCCCAGCAACACACCACTAAAAAAGAGGAAGAGAAAAGAGCGAAGTAGATTAACTGAAGGTTGACTTTCAAGCAGAAAGGCTTTTCCAAGGAAGAAAGAAAGAAAGCCGGGGCGATAGTGGTACATGATTTTATAAAATCCCAGGACTTGGGAGACAGAGGCTAGTGAATCTCTTGAGTTAAAGACCAACCTGGCCTACATAGCTAGTTCCAGGATGGCCAGGACTACATAGAGAAACCCTGTTTCGAAAAACAAACAAAACAACAAAGACTAAGAAAGCATAAGTCAAAAGGTAACCGTGTGGCCAGGCAAAGTGGCTCATATTTGTAATCTCCTTAGTTGGAAGGCTGAGGCAGGATTGCTGAAAAATTGAAGTTAGCTTGGGCTGTAGAGTAAGACTGTTTAAAAAAGAAAATTTTAAAGCGGGGGGTGTAGAGGAAGGAAGTGAACTGTTCTGATGGATCTCTGTTTGACCCAGTTACAAAATCAGTAGTGTGTCTTGACTATAAGTGATTTGAACGCCAAATTGTGGTTTACAAATGAGCTAGACATGCTACTGTATGATGTAGCTAAAGGTGCTGCAGCTTTTCAAAAATAGTGTAAGCACTCTGAAGGAAAAATAGTATTATTATAAAGGATTTTTGATTGTGATCATTAGCAAATATAGCCATCCATTCTGTTTAAATTTAACACCAAAGCTGATTAGTTGTACCACCGATAAAAATTGTAGTTGCTACCAAGAGGATTTTTGTTGGTTAAAAGAAGTTCAGGATTCTATTTTTGGGCAAATCCCTGTTAATTATATTCTTGAATCCTATAATGGTTTGAATTTTTAATGTTGAAATTAAATTGGTTCAGAGTCAATTGTCAAATATGGCAGGAAGCCTTTTTCTTAAAGAGTGCTTGCTGCTTTTGTGAGGACCCAAGTTCTGTTTCTATCACCCAAGTCAAATGGCTCACAGTCGCCTGAAACTGCAGCTCTAAGGATCCAACAACCTCTTTTGGCCTCAGTAGGCACCATTGCACACATGTGCATACATAAATAAAAATCTTTTTTTAAAAGAATGCAAATACACACTAACTTTAAATGAGAAACATTTTAGGTGTCTGAAGCATGGATGATAAAAATCCCTGTGATTTTCCTTGTTAGAGTCTCTCACCCCCCCCCCCTTTTTAATAAAATTGGGAGCAAGATTAGATCCTAACTCATGTAGGGAAAAATTATTTATGGACTAGTAGCCCTGCTACATTGTGACTTGTGCCAGGACACTTGGCTGGGCACAAGGGGTTTGAAATCCAGCCCACCCTCCACTCATTTAGCTATTCTCCATGAATCGGGAACACTTACTTGGAAAACTGCTTGCCTTTTTCTCAGTTCACAGTATGACAATATGTTGTAGCTGTATTTTGTTTTTCAAAAGCATGATGCACTCTATCAAATAGTCTTATGTGGATGGACACTTAAAAGAAATCCCACACTAGCTCAGAATTGAGAAATAGATGGTTATTTATTTAGGAGTAAACTTACAAATCAGAATCCTCTGTTTGAATGGAGATCAGAAAATGAATCCCACAACTGGAACAAAGAAGCTGGATGCATGCTCTACATCCGCATATATAGTGTAAGAGGCCACGCCCCAGTGGTCGGGTAACCACTAGCTGTAAGACTTCCTACAGCTGTCTCAAGTCTCAAGAATTGGAGATCTCGGTTGTGACCAGTAGCCTATCCAGTTCATGTTCTGTGCCTTCCCTTCGGACATTCCCCAACCTCCCTGAACTCTTCATCAACCATTGCCTTCTCTCCTTTTCTCCCTCGTACTTATCACTGCCATCATGTTTTCATTGTCTCTATGTATTTTGATAGGTCACAGGTTCTTTCTTTTTTTCTGCTATATTTTCGGTGTGTAATAACGTTAGGCTCACAGTAGGGCATTCAGCTTATAGAAAGAATAGCAGAATGTATTCTGATTATTTTCTACAGTTTCCACGGTAATCCTGGATACTTACTAAATATTAAGGAGGAGTGCTGATCCTTGAACACTTGCATTCCAGAGGCCCATGTCTGGAGTACAAACTCCACCTGATTTTTAGGGAACCCTTCTGTTTATTTTTTTGAGATAAGGTCTTTTGTGTGGCCAGGCTTACGTAGAACTCACCTTTTCTGCCTTTGGATTGCTAAAATTACAGGCAGGTTCTATAGTACCTGACATGGGAGATTTATGTGAACTTATTATTAAAACATGAGGTGGTAATATAGGCCAGGTCTGGTGATTCATGCCTTTATCCCCAGTACCCAGAAAGTTGAGGCTGGAGGAACACTAGTTTAGGGCCAGTCTGTTTCTCAAAGCACGTTATACCAAAATCGCAGTAGCATTGCCTAACCTAAGAGTTTGCAGTCATGATGGGGAGTAAACAAGTCAGAGTAAGTTAAAGCAAGGAAATTAGAAGTCTCTAATGTAAACATTTCTAATTGTAAGATATAATTGATGAAAACTTCATCTCTAGATCTTGTGTTTAAGTCTGTCTTTTAAGCTAAGGTTTATAATCACGGCTCGCACCATTTTACTTGTTTTTCAAGTAGCCATTTGGACAAGTATCACCACGAGGAAGAAAGCCTGACATCTGCAGATGTGCTCGCCTGGTACTTATCTGAAATAGAGCCTTCTGGTTCCCACATCTATTTGTTTGTGGTGTATTCATGGGAATGGTCAGAGGACAGCTGGCAGGAGTTGCTTCTCTCCTTACCACATGGGACCCTGGGATGCGACTCAGATAGTTAGACTTGGCAACAAGCACCTTTACCTTCTGAGCTGTACCTTCACACTGTAGTCTGGAATTCATGATTCTTGTGTTCCTGTTGGAATACCCAGCTTGAGGTCATTCTGTAAACCCTGTGTAGAGGCAGAGGACAGAATTCTTAGGCTAGTCTGTGTGATATAGCGAGGTCCTACTTCCAAATACACAGGCAAAATGTATACTGCTGGGGCTGGGAGAGATGAGAGAACCCAGTCCAAATCCCCAGAACCCATGTGAAAAAGCCACGCGTTTGTAGTTCAGGTTCTAAGGAGGTGGGATTACTGGGGCTGCCTTACCAATCGGGCTAACCTACTTGACAAATTCCAGACCAATGGGATATTCTCTCAAAAAATACCCCCCACAAACACACACAACATAAAAAACAGGAGATCTGATGGCCTTGAACAGCCTCTGTAGGCATCAGACAAACAAATTGCACAGATTTTTGCCTACGTGTAGGCAAAACACTAATGCACATAAAATACTTGTTCAGAAATTATCAATAAGAATTGTTTTAGTTTTAACTGTGAGCCTAGCCTTGAACAGCTGAACCATTTCCCCAGTCCCAGGTTGGTTTTGAACTCGAAACAATCTTCCTCTGCTTCCTAAATGCTGGGTTTGAAGGTGTATGTCATGACTCCAGGCCACCTAAGTCCTAATGCTGACATTTTTGACATTAATGCAACCACTCTTTTTTTCTATTTTCAGAATCTGATATTGATGCTGCCACTGCAATGATACTTTTAAATACTTCAATAGAACAAGAGATTTTAGAATGTAAGCAATCGTTCTTTTATTAAAATAAATTTTATAAATGCCTTTTCAAACTAATGGTTTAAAAGTCAAGATGGCTAATGTCATAGCAGAATTTACTTTTTTCCGCTAAATTGTGGTTTAATCTGAATTCTGTTGTATTGTATTTCTATTTATATAATCATTTGAAAAAAATAAGTTAATGCTGTGGGAGATTTTTGTGTTGATCAGGAAATGGAGGGGCAGAAATAGAAATACTTTCCAGAAGCAAGCTTGAGGGGCTAAAGATAAAGACGAGAGCTGTGAACACACTGTGGTAAAGGATACTTTTCATTTGGGTTGGTGGGGTGCTCTGTGGGTAAACGTGCCTGCCATCAGCCTTATCCTTTGTTCAGTTTCTGGGACCTGTGTGGTAGAAGGGAGACTTGATTCTCAGGGGCTGTCCTCTGACATCCACACACAAGCCCAAGTGCACGTACATATACACAAAGTAATTGCTTTTATTGGTTTCAGCTGAGCTATACATTTTTCTCCATTCCCCTCTCCCCTTCTACACTCTCCTGTGACCTCCACGCTCCACAAAATAATTTTTTAAAGGATGTTTAGAGTTTGGAATAGGAAAAATGTTAAGGTACAATTGCAAAGCCCATGAGGAAAAGGTGGAAAATTTAATTAAAGTTCTTTGATTGGTTTTATACTTCTGTAATCTCAGCACCGGGGATGTGAGGAAAGAAGACCAGGAGCCAGAAATTCAGGGTCCCCCTTGGCTAGATAGCAAGTTCTAGACCAGCCTGGGATGTGTAAGACCTGTATCCAAACAGTGATAAGTGAGAGACTGGCTGGGAGGCTGGGGACTTGAGCGTGTGTTAGAAGGCTTGCCGAACAAGTGATGGGCAAGTTGACCCAAGCACCAAAAAAGGTAAGAGAAGCAATGCAGAATACTGGGAGAATTTTTAAACTATGTATAATAGATAAAAGATTAATATCATGTCTGTAAAGGATCTAACAACTAAGAAATAAGCAGACAGGTCCCATAGCTGCCACACTAGTCAGGGACTGAGTCTCTGGGATCTGTGGGAAGAGGAAGCAGAGAGATTGAGCCAGAGGTATTGGAAAGGCAGTGTTTTTAGGTCAACAGTCCTGATACGGACATGAACTTAAAGAGACTGGCAACATGCTCAAGACTGCACAGGTTCAAAACAGACAAAGTGCCAGCACTAAGAGGGAGTGGGCACAGAGCCCCCAACCGAGAAGCTGCTTACAGTTGACACCTGCTGGGAAGGGGAAGCTGTTTATCCCAGTCGTAGGCCTCATGTCCACAAGCAGTATTTTGCTTTTATTTTTTTTATTTTAATTTAATTTTTATTTGTTTCTTACTGGATTTGTTTGGTTTAGTAAGGACAGGAGAGCAGAAAAGTCAGCAAAATATGTGAAAGTGGCTCTCAAAAGAAGAGATATGGGGAGATGGAAAGTAAGTTTAAGATACTGCCTTTAATTTAGAAAATAAAAATGTAAATGATTGCTAATGGAGTATGCAAGTGGATGATGTTTTTCGTACACTGTTAGTTTATTGTTACAGCCACCCAGGAATAATTTGAGCATACTTGAATTTAAAATACCTTTTCACTCAGCACTTAACAATTCTTACGCCTCCTAGAAAGTGTGTGTGTTTGTGGTCCAGTACTTTTCCTTGCTGCAGCGTTACCAGTACAAACTTGGAACAGTGTAAATACTCACAGGGAAATTGTCAAGCAGTGGTATAGTCATACTGAGACATTCTTTGCAAATAGTACAGAGTAACTTTTATGTTCCACGGAAAGGACAGGCTATCTTTCAAATGGTTTTTAAATGTTTCAGATCTAGAAATAGAATTATGGGGGGAAATGCTACAAAACTCCAGATTCCAAACACTTATTACTCAAAAGTGAGAGTTTTGGGGGTCTGCTTTTGCAGTCAGATACCTCTGGCTTGTTGATAAAGCCCTGTTCCCACAGGTGAGAAGCCGTCACTGCAGAAGAAGAGGGGTTACAGCAATGCATTCAGCGCCCCCGGCGCCGCGCGGCTGCAGGAGAACCATCCTCCAGCCGCCAGCATCGACCCAAAAGCAGACCACAATTACAGTGCCAGTAGCATGGCAGCTCAGCGCTGCGCATCCAGGGCGAGCGTGTCTTCCCTGTCTTCTGTGGATGAGGTGTATGAATTCATCCCGAAGAGTAGCCATGTGGGAAGTGATGGCAGCGAGGGCTTCCACAGTGATGAGGACACGGATGCTGATGATGAGGACGATCGTCTGGGAGACAGCGGCTATGCACCACGAGCTCATGAAGACAGTGCTCCCGAAGGACAGCCAGGCAAAAAGAAGCAGAAACAGTCGTGTCAGGAAATTGATGAGGAACTCAAAGAAGCAGCAGGGTCACTGCTCCACCTTGCTGGAATCCGAACCTGCCTTGGTTCCCTCATAAGTACTGCGAAGGCACAGAGTCAGAAACACCGGAAGAAGTAGGAATACTTACTAAAGTGTGCAATACTCTTCTACTTAACTCTTCACAAGGGATATCAGAGCCATAGCGGACTTCTTAAGCTTGAGGGTAGGGGAGGAGTGCCACTGTTTCTTTCTAAATAGTTTTTGGTTGCTTTTCATTTTTTGTTTTGTTCAATTAAACAATTGCTCTTAGGATCATGACTAATTGTAAATCTGATATAAAGACCCCCAAAACAATTTCTGTGAATAAGTGTCTCCTAGATTTGGAAAATTTTGTGTAAGAAAATTCTCAGTCTCTGTCTTAAACTTGTAGGGGGAAAAAATCAATCTCTTTTGTTAATTGGTCAAATATAAGAATTGCTAACTCGGTATTTTCACTTTTGTTCCCATTCTATAGGTAACTGTAGTTACTTATGTAGCTAAGCACAGGCTGGCATCTTCTCACGTGCTCCTCTCCTGACGTAATCCAGAGGTGAAATGCACGTCTTTTGTCTTATTCTTGTTTTAAGTTATTCTTTGTTGCAGCATGAGCATGACCAAACATCAGTGGAAAAGATCCTAGATGCCTAGAAGGTTCTCTGGTTTGTAGGGGTGTGGCTCATCTCCAGATGGGAATTCCTATTGCAATATTATCTTTGAAATGTTCTTACCTCACAGTTAATGCACAACGTCACTGGGGCCTTTCCCCTTTCCCAGAGTACTTTGCAAGTGGTGTTTAAGTTTTAGCTACTAGCTGTCTTTGTTAAGTAAAAATTGTCCAGCGAGCGGATACAGTCGGAGTGTGTCATGGGGTAACATACACCTTTACACACTTTAAAAGAATTTTTCATTTGTTTTCAAAACATAGTGTGATGAAATATTGGGAAGAAATGTAACATCTTAAGTAAAAGTAGGTCATTGAGGACAAAACTTTCCAAGCTTTATATAAATTAAAGTTATATGTGTAATGAATAGACTTAAAACATTTGCTAGGAAACTGTAGAGATAAACACCTTCAGGGATTTCAAAATAGGTATAAAAATTAAATCTTACACAGAACTTTTTAAGAGGCAATGTAATACCTCTATGTGCCATTAATCCATGCTAAAATATTTTATATTACTATTCCAAACGGGCATTGGCTAAGATAGTTTACGTATTTGAACAAAACTGCTTATATGAGACAGTTTTCATATCACAGTTTGATTATAGCATTCAGAACAGGGATACTAATGTAACTCACAAATATATTTTTTTACAGTGGTGGGAGAAACTTTGGGAAAGTTTAGTCTTATTTCATGATGCACCCTGTATCCCAGACAGTGACCTTCTTTGCATTTTTCTAATTTATATGCATAGATACACTTGCTGTATGCACACATATACAGGCTCAGGTTAGTTTCCTGCTTTGAAATGTGTTTTTGACTACAAAGCATTTCTTGGATTTTTTTTTAAAGACAAATATTTCATTTTTACTTCTAAATTTTATTTGGGCAAAACTGTCAAATGAGAAGAAAAACTAAAGCATGTTTCTTAACCGACCATACTTTCAGCTTTGACAGCATTAATACACTCTTGTTTCCATGTTAGTTATAATTAAATCTGGATAGCTGTAGTAATGGAATGGGTGCTACTAAAATATTGACATTTTTCTTTTATTGATAATGCAGGATGAGGAATTTTAAATCTTCCTCACTCATAAATGTTATTTCTCCTAAAGCCAGCTAAGTGAAGATAGTCTTTTACTGCAGACAGTAAATACAGTCCCAGCTGAAAGTCTGCTTTGCCGTGGTGTCCGTCATACAGAGGCTACAAAGCTCAGTTGAGTAGCACAGTGTTTTGAAGCAAATCACCATGGCCTTCTGGACTGGGCTCACACAGTGTCCAGGATCTGTTCTGAAATTCTCTACAAGTGTTTCTCCAAGTTCCTGTCTACTAGCTGTAAGTAGAGGAAATGACCTGAAGTAGGAGGAGAGAATTGTTCTTCGCTCAAAGAGACCTCTTCAAAATGCCTTTTAGGCAGTAACTGAAATTCTTTTCTTTGCCTCTTCAGCGGACTCTTTTTTAAAGCTGTAGCCATTAGCAAAGCTGATGACTGCCTGTGCACCAACAGCCGCTCCCTAACAGTTTGCACTTAGTTCTTGTGTGGAATTCAGTGTCTCGTTCTCCATGTGCTGTTGTGTCCGGGCATCCATCTCAAGGGGAGAGCCTTCTTCACACATCCATCTCAAGGGGAGAGCCTTCTTCATTCTGGCCCCTTGTGGTGTTCTCGGGGATCACGCTCCTGCTTGGAGACGTAGCTGGAAGCTTCCAGTTAAGGAAGTCATTCCAAACCTCATGGACTGGAAATTCCCAGTTAACACACTTCATGTAATAAACACAACCTAGAAACCCAGGGACAGCATCCACGTTACGTTAAACTTGTTTTAGCTAAGGTATACTTTGTCTTATATCAGAATAAGAATTTTGTTGCAGCCGTTTCAGTTTTAATGGATCCCTAGTAAAAGCTGTGTCTTGGCACTGTTATCTTTATTTTCCACATTGCCAAGAGAATCAGTGTTTCTTGAATACATCTTTGAAATTTGTTTGTGCAATATATTACTAAACTAGTTGATCTTTTGCTTTTTAATTCAGGATGAAAACATTGCCTAGATCAGTAGGAAAGCAAGGGGTGCGGCACCCCTTTCCCACCTTGCCTGTTCTTGGAGCCAGCATGACTTATTAGATTCCTTTGTATATTGTAAAGTTGAGCATCTCTATTTTTTCCACTGTTTGAGGCATTTGTAAAGGGTTCCTACTAGATGGTCAGTTAATACACACACGTCAGCCAGTTCAAAGCCAGAGCAAGTGTTAAGGCAACGTCTGTATGTTTGTAGACTAGGAGGCCTTTCATAGCAACTTGGGCTGCAGGTGGGAGTGCTCCCTAAAGCCTCCAAACTGTTACCCAAAATAGAAGTCTGCATGTTTGTAGACTGGGGGGCCTTTCATGGCAACTTGGGCTGCAGGTGGGAGTGCTCCCCAAAGCCTCCAAACTGTTACCCAAAATAGAAGACTACTTAACACCCTTCAAAAATCATAGCATTTTCTAAACCAACTTTTGAGGCTTTCTAGTTTATATATGTGTCATAGGGTTTTTTTTTCTTTCTTACTTTGAAATGTGTAAGTTTTGATTAAAGTTTACTCCAGTGTGTTAATGATGTAGTCAAATATTTATTGAAAGGCAAAATAGAGTATTTTATGTTATACCTGCCATTTTTCAAGAATATTCTTTGCATCTAACTGCCAGTGCCATTATCAAACTTGTTTTCAAAAATTGTACTTTTTTATTAAACAAAGTGCTTAATTTTAAAGTATTATGTTGCCATCATATAGTGTATAAAATGTATAATTGCCAATTCATTGTAACTTATTTATTTTTAAAGAAAAGTATAAGAATACTTTCTGAGTAAAGAAATTTGTTATTAAATTGTTTCCTCGTTTCTGATGTAGCTAAAAACTTCTGAGTTTAACTGCAGATAGATGACCAGCCACAAGTGAACCTCTTCTCAGTTGCCAGTCTTTGCTCATAGTAAAACAACTTACAAATGTTTAGTTTTTGTATCTAATCTCTGACTCTTAAAATGTTTATAAAGTTTATTTTTACCAAAGAGATGCAATTCATTATGATAAAATTGCAGAGTAAATGTCGTTTTTTAACATTTTTTGTGCTTTGTTTTATTTGTGGGGTGGAGTAGTTGAAGCTTTCCATTTCAAGTGTTTTTAAAATATTTTAATTCTTACATGAGTGTGTATATGTGTGTGCGTGCATGTGAGTGCATGTGCGCATGCCTGCGTGCATATGTAGAAGACAGAACAACTGTGGAGAGTTGGTTTTCTCATTCCATTTTGGATTTTGGGGCTTAAACTCAGGTTCAGTTTTTTGCAATCTCACCAACCCTTGGGTTATTTGTTTGTTTTGGCAGGGTCTCATGTAGCCCTGCAACAGCTGTGTTACTGTGGGATTATAGGGTGTTGTCACTACTCCTGCCTGAAGTGTGTGTGTGTGTGTGTGTGTGTGTGTGTGTGTGTGTGAGAGAGAGAGAGAGAGAGAGAGAGAGAGAGAGAGAGAGAGAGAGAGAGAGAGAGAGAATATTGACACTTGTATGAGAATGTGGGGAAGCTGGAGGTCTTGAGAAATTCAAAATGGTTTATAGCCACTTTGAAATGCAATATGGACATTACTCAGGAAATTTAAAATAAGGTTATTGTATGAACAGGTTTGTGCTTCTAGGTAAAGACTAAAAGAATTGGAATATCTCAAGATACATATACAGCCATGATGGACGTAAAAGGTGTCCATCATTAGCCTGACCAATTCCATTTTGCTCTTCTCTGGTTCTTTATTTACTGCCCCCTCCCCAGTTGCTCTTAGTTCTGCTTGACAAACATCTTCATGGCCAGGTACTCTTCACCAAGCCTAACAAGCCAGATCACTCCCAAATGGGAGCCATAGCCCTACATGCTGCCCTCAGAGCAGGAGGAATCAACTCATGGGAATTGCTCCCCTTGGTGATACCAGCCTTGCCAGATCCCTTTGCAGGACCAGACCCCTGTCCTGAACAAGGCCATTGTTTCACCAGGGGTACCTGCTCCATCCCTTTTTCTCACCATTTCCTGTGATCTTTCAGTTTCTGTTAGCATCTTGAAGACAGACTGGGATGTCACCAAACCCCTTTCCCTGTTTTTCCTAACCTGACACGTTGTGCCTCTCACTGCTACTTGTCTTTGGTGGGTATTGGGACAGGTGGCTAGGATTCACCTACTGAGATTCTAAGAGCCAGAGCTTCTACCCTAAAATACAGGTAACAGCAGCAACATTATTCTCCAGAGCCAAAGCTGGATAGTAACACATTGTCCTTCCGCAGATGAATAAACAGGTCATGTGGGACGCCCTGCTCTTTATGTGTCGCTTTTATTGGTTGATGAATAAATATACTAATAGATTAGGCATATTTCTAGCTAGCTCTTATGTCTTAAATTAACCCAGGAGAAGCCATGTAACTGCCCAGGAAGCAAGAGGTAACAAACCGCGAGCCTCATAGTAAAATATAAAATAATAAAAATGGGTTAACTGATAGTTGACTGATAGTGCTCTTAACCACTGAGGCATCTCTCCAGCTTACAATCTAAATTCTTAAAGCTATATGATTTTTTTTTTCTGAAAGTGCTTGGTAATTCAAAGTATAGGTGCATTCCTGTGGCTTGGTTCTGTGTAAATAATTCCTTTTTCAGATGAATGCCCCCAAGGAATACATGGCCAACTTTAATTCACTCTAAGGACAAGCAAGAAATAATGATGTTTAGCTCCTTGCAGCCAGCTTTGGGGAGAGGCAGTATGTCCTTCCAGGTTTCAGCTGATGCACACATGCACATCATTATCAGTGGATGTTACAATTGTAACCATCTAGAATAGATCTCCCTCCCTCTCTCTCCTCTCTCTCTCTCTCTCTC